GCACTGAAAAATAATGTAGGAGGAAAGAAGAAATTAGGGAGAAAAGTAAGAGCAAAAAATTTGTAGGTAAATTTGGCTGTCAGACATCCTAGATGTTTCAAAAAGTTGGATGCTTTTGAAGATACTTTCAGGATACTTCAAAGAATTTAGGTGTTCAGAGAGAAAACACTTGGACGTGTACACCAGCCAATACCATCAATTGAGCTTGTGTTAACAGAAAAGACAAAAACGATATCATTGCAGATTAAAGTTAAGAACGACTGGTTTAAGACTATATGGTTGTACAAATTTAAGTTACGTTATAAAACATCACATCGTATCATAAACGGAGAATGACATGATTTCTCAATTGAATTATTTGAAGATTCAGGAGTTATATGGATGTCACGTTTTTTTTACATCCTGATGAAACAGCGGCCGAGCGGTAAAGTCGCTGAACACTGGTAGTTTGGTCCGAGGTTCGAATCCCGCAAACGAGCTGGCTGCATGGGCGTTTTCGTGGTTTTCCCATTGTGTAACGTGTATACGAGCCAGTTTCCCTTAGAAAGTCCTCCAAGAAAACATCCCTCCCCTTAGGCAGATAGCCCTAGTGTGCTTTGTCATAATTAAATAAGCCAAAACCTCTTGATGAAACCAGTCTTTACTTTTATCTCATACCTTCAAAATGCTAGCTTTCTAAAGACTGATAAAGGCTCTGATGAAATGGATTGAATTGGATTATTAAGTTACGGCAAAGCAGGGCTATCTGCCTAAAAGGAAGGATGCCTTCTCGTGAAGAAATTTCTAAGGGAAACCAGCTGGCATACACGTTACACATGAGAAAATCCCCGAAAACGCCCATGCAACAAGTCCGTTTACCGGGATTCGAACCCCGGAGTGAACTACCAGTGTTCAGCGACTTTACCGCTCGTCTGTTTGTGGGCCTTTATGAAATGGAAGGCGCTAATTTTATTTAAAATGATCGTCAGAAATACCAAGATGTTTCGGAAAGTTGGATGCTTTTTAATATAATTGCAGAATGCCTAAAGAAAAAGAGATGAAAAAATTAATTTTTGAGTAAAATTTAGTATTTGTACTTTTTTTAAATTTAAAACTTTTTAATCTTTCAAAAATAAATATGATCTCAAAAATAAAATATTTGACTAAAATATGAATAATATTTTTAGAAACCAAATGTAGGATAAAATTGTCTAAAGCAATGGGCACAATGATAAAACTGTGCAGTGTATGCAAGTCATTCTAAGTTAAAATGTCGGTTATACAACTCTCTTATTTATACAGTCAAAAGTCGTTAATCCGGACTCGGCGGGACTTCGGCGATTCCGGATTATAGATCAACAGTTTAAATCTCGTAAGATGGCATGCACAAATTCTAAAATTAAAAATAAGAAACCGTATTTTAGGAAATAAAGAACAATTATGATCTAAAGGGTATCAAAATTTACAAAAAAAAAGCTTAATATTTATTTGTTTACTTTATAAACATTTCTTTCAATGTAAGTTGTTTCGTTTCGTGATAATACTTTCTCTTTAATTCTATAAACAGACATAATTTCTTGTTCAGTTAAAAAGCTCCGATGTTCAAGTCCAGTAATTGCTGTGCTGAGAATACGACTAATTGTCAATCGAAATTTTTTCGTTTCACTAACCTCTCTGTCACCTTCTTCATGTCTTTATCCATTTTTTGCAGCAATTCCACTTTTTTGTTTTGACGGACATCGAGACATACTTTCGTTTGTAGATCCTTTGGGAGCTCCAGAATCGGAAATTGACATAATCGAAAGTTCAAGTTTACTTTATAAAATTGCTCTACAGTCTGCAAAAATAATAAGCTGCATCCAATTCGAAGATTAAGGAATAACGCAAGCATCAACATTAACTGAAATAGATAATTGTATAATTTTAGCTTATACCATCCGTTATACGTTAAACGCGCACACGAAAACGCATATGCGCGTGCGCGTAAAGGTCTTATGCGCACGCGTAAACGCCTATGCGCATGTGTCAACGCGGCGCATGCGCAGAAAGTTTTTAGCTTTGAGATCCGGATTATGGGTGTCCGAATTAACGACTTTTGACTGTATATTTCTTTTCTGAAGAGAACATTGAAAGGCATGTTAACTGTGCTACATTGAAAGGTATGTTAACTGTGCTTTGTCATTTCTCTTTTAATATATGCAGTTTTCAAATGCATCGTAGTCGGGATTACAAAGTATTCTTCCGAAAAAAACACAATTCAAATAAATAAAATCAAATTCTGGAAATTTATATTAATAAATATATTTAAAAAAAGCTCAGTTCGAATGAATAATAGAAAATTTAAAATAACTATCTGAAGAGACAATGCAACACTAACAATTAAAACAAAAGTCTAAAAATTAAAAATTACCTAAATAATAACTATGGACTAAAAATATAGTATAAAGAAAACTATTTGAAAAAAAAAAATAAATAAATAAATAAACGTTGCACCTTTGAATTAAACCACGCAGTTCGAATGAGTAAATAGAAATTTTTAAAACAGTTTTTCGAAAGAAACTATGCAACGTAAACTATTAAAATAAATTCGAAAAAAAAAAAAAAAAAATGCTTAGAGTTTATTGCAATTATAATTAAAAATATAAGATAAAGAACATTATTTGAAAGAAGGAACGATTGGGTCTTTTTTTTCCTCTCACGCACTATGTAAAAATGGAAATGCAAATAGGTTGCCACATATTAAGAAGTTCGCCAAGTGAACTAATTTTGGCGCAAACTGAATAAAAAGCGCCAATATAAATTGTTGAATTTCTCCATATATTTCGCACCAAATTTTACAAAATTTAATATTTAGGCATAATTTGAGTAGTAGAATCAAAATATAGAAAAAAATTGGTAAGTTATTTCAGAAAAAGACCGATTTTGTGTCAAAATTCCTATGTTAGAATAGTGCTATATATAAGTCTAATATATATCCTAAGAAGCAATTTCGAGACATGAAGAACGCAATTTGAATTTCGTGAATCGGTCCAGTAGAACGGGAGATATAGAAATGTCCTTCTTTTTTTTTTTTTTTTTTTTTTTTTTTTTTTTTAGCAGTGTACCTTCAAAATTTATAATTGCCTTTCATAGTAATAAAGTAGGGAAAAGGCTCATGCCGTCAGTTTTTGGATTCAAGTGAGGAATTAAAGTTTGTATTTCTAACTTAAACATACCCCTGTTGGTAACTGGCAAAGTTGGTACAAAATTAAGACTAGCACCTGAACTAGCTGTTTGCAATTTTAAATTTTCAAGCTCGTGCTTGCATTCTTCTATCTTTTTCCTTTCATTAAATTTGCTCTTGCTCTTTTCTATGTTTCTATGAGAACTATGAGAAACTGAAACTAATTACACTTTATAAGGCAGAACAGATTCATTATACATAACAGTTTCAGATGCAAAATTTTATAATTTATTTATTAAAATCATAAATCAGTTCTTTATCACATAATTTACCACAAGAATTAGGTTACACATGGACATAACACATAATTTTAAGTTTTACAGAGCAGGGGTCTAATACAGTCAAAAGTCGTTAATCCGGACTCGTTGGGACTTTAAGGATAGTGCTGACAGATCAACTTCCAATTCATTGCGCGCTGCGGCGTTTCTGCCCCCCCCCTGCCGCAGAGCAGCATGAAATTGATAAACAGATTTCGGATTTCAAAACATACTTTCGCTTTGTAGATCCTTCACACATTAGTACATATATATCGGAAATTCTATTTGACATAATCGAAAGTTCAAGCTTACTTTTATAAAATTGCTCTAACAGTCTGCAAAAAATAATAAGCCGGATCCAATTCAAAGATCAAGGAACAACACAATCTGCAACATTAACTGAATTGGATAATTTTAGCTTAGCTTATACCGTCTGTTATACATTAAACGCACATGCGTAAACGTATTTGCGCTTGCGCACATGCATATTCACAGCCGCAAAGGTCTTACGCGCACGCGTAAACGCCTATGCGTATGCATCAAAGCGACGCATGCGCAGAAAGTTTGTATCTTTGAGGTCCGGATTATGGGTGTCCGAATTAATAACTTTTGACTGTACCAACTAATAGGTCCATCACCTGCCCTTTACTAAACTTTTTTTTTTTTTTTTTTTTTTTCCTCTGGCTACTCACCACAAGGGAACTTACTCTTATAACTAAAATGAGTTCACATAGTTTCCAGTATCAGAAGTGATTACATAAATTTATTCGTAACAAACATAGAAATTAAAAACTGATATGTATGAGAAAGCTAACAATCCACATACAAAAACACAATATGAATAAAACAACATTATCACACACCTCAAAATTAATAACAACATTAATTAGGAACTTTACAGAGGTAGCTTATAACAGTAAATCAAGCCTCATTATTATGTGATTCATGAGCTCACCTCATAGAGCTCAACCTTCTGAAGTATGAATCAGATTTAAAGAGTTAAAGTTTTAAATTAGGAGCAACCCACACCCTTTATAGTAACTGTTTTTAAAATATGAATGCTGCAAGAAATGAATAGACAAGAGGAGAATGCTCTTTCCACACATTCACTGTTTGCCAATGACAGTGAACATTTTAATTCCTCTTCACTTATTTCATTTCGCTTCTGTGCGCAGTGTTTGATCTTTAAATGCTGTAATAATAAAGATGGTTTCATACTTCCATTTGATAAAACTTCTCCATATACTAAGCAAAGATGCAATGGGTTGTCATCTTCTTCCTATGAATTAAAATCCATATTTTAAATACTCAGATAACATTCTTTTCTTCTATGAGGAACTGTTATTTGGAATTCAAGGCCCTTAAATCTGGAGAACTGTTGATTCTTAGGAAGCATTTCTTGTACTTGCCAAATTAAAGTTATTAACCATGATAGTTTCAGTTCTGCACGAATATCCATTTTTAACTACTTATACATTTTTACATGAACAACATTTTATACATAACAATCCTAAAAGAACAAAAAATAAATTAAAACAAACCTCCATACTTTAACTGGTTTGTATGTCACAACTGTAAAGATAGAAAACAACATAATTCAGATGATTCACTCAATACTGAAAAATGATAACCACAAATCATTTTTATACAATATGCAAAGATACAGTCCAGAAAGACAATATCTGATGCATAAAGAACTGAGCAATATGACTGATATTAGCAGGACTAGGTACAAATAATTACACCGCTTTTGCACATACTTAATCAATAATAGCCAGACTGAAAATCCTCACACAGCTTTTCTCTTGAACTTTCTAAATATTTTAATTTTTATCAGCATCTAATGTAAAATTATAAAGTAGTTTAATTTTTACAAAAATTAAAATTGCAATAAATAAATAAATAAATAATAAAAAAGCCATTATTTGTTTTTCACGTTAATTAATATATATATATATTTTTTTCATTCAGCTTGAGAACCACTGTTATACAACATAAAATGCATTTCACACACATAAAATAAAATAAAATAAAATAAAAATAAAAATATTAGATCAAGCAATGGTATATTCACAGAAAGAATTTCTTTAGTTAAACAAAAATCACTCAAGATATACATAATAATATTTTGATATACGAAATAAAAGATGCAATTCATAAGTCCATTATTTATTTGCTAATGATCAATACAATTTTTCCAATATCCAGAACATTTCACATCCAAAGATAAATTTATTACCAGCAGTGAATTCACAAAAACTATTCTGAATTTAAAAACACTAAATCTAAATAAAACACTTACATTTTACAATTTACATATAACAATGATACTTAAATATTAATTATACTCACTTTCCTTTATCAAATTTTTCAGTTGCTTGTTGCTCATCATCATGAAGTACATCTTCAAATGATTTTGAATAACTGTTTATTTAAGGAATAAAATAAGTCCAATAATATTGCTGATAATAATACTGTTTGATCATCATTAATGCAACTTCCATGGCACTCTGCAAAAAGAGTTAAACTCGCAATAGCTCTCCGATTAAAACACCATGACTTTGAGAAGCAATGTGATAACTCATTTGATTTCATTTCATCGTCCCCCCTCTTACCTTTCTACCCTATTTCATTAATGGATCTCACACTCTTCTACCTCATTTCATTAATAAAATGGACCAAATGGCTCGTTCATGATTTTTCTCATAGTCATGTCTGTCTTGTGGTCAAACAGTAATAAATTACAAATGTAACATATTTAAATGATATTAAAATCATAATTTCAATGCAGAAATAAAAGCTATATTAAAAACAAATGCACTGAAAACTTAAAAAAAATATCAAACTTTCAAAACACATAACAAGTTAAGCACGAAGATGTAAAATGCAAAAAAATCAACAAATAGTGCTTTGATTGACACAAAACTCGGCAGGAAAGTAGCATATATATTTATGCATAGAACAAATCAATAACTATATACAGAATGAAACAATATTAAATTTTTGTAAGTTATCAGATAATGACATACTGGAGACTTAAACAGAATTATGTATAAAGTGAAAATAAACAGCATAAAATGAAAAAAAAAGGACATTAATAGGATATGTGATTCCCCCTCATCTGTATACAAAGTTTATACCTTGTGACCATGTTTTCAATTAGGTGGTTAACCACTGCAGAATTAAGCAATCGCCATTATTCTTGTAGAGCAGTTTCCAGCTAAAAAAGAGAGTGGCTGGAGGTTGGAAACGGAAGATACAGCACGACCGACAGCATCCCAAAGATTTCCAATGGGATTAAGGTCGGGCGAATATGCTGGCCATGACATAAGCACAATCCCTTCACTCTCCAGCCAGTCATTGACGATATCAGCTCTACGGGGACGAGCGTTATTGTCCATTAAAACAAAAGTTGGGCCAAGTGCTGCAGCATACAATCTCACAATGGGTTCTAAGACTTCATCTTGATATACCGGACAGCCGTCAAAGAACCCCGTTTAAAGGTGTGCAGGTTGGTGCGGTATCCTAATGAAATCCCTGCCCACACCATAATGCTTCTGCCTTGGAATGCGTGATATTCGGTGATGTTTCGGGACTGATTGCGTGTTCGTTTTTCATGCCATATCCTTATACGCTTGCCACCTGGCTCCAGAGCAAATCTTGACTCATCAGTAAACATGACATTACCCCAGTCAGACGCATTCCAAATGACATGTTCCTAGCACCACTCTAATCGTGCCCCTCTTGATTGGACGGATAGAGGAACACAAACTCTACATGGGCATACAGTCCACTCATATTTAATCTTCGGAGTACAGTAGCTACAGATATCGCCTTACCAATGGATGCTGTAACCATAGATGATGTCACACGTGTGGAGGTCGCTCTGCGATTCTGTTTGGCTACAATAGCAATATATCGATCTTCCGCGGGTGGTTGTAACCCTTGGGTGACCGGCTACGGGCCTTTGGACAACTGTCTGTGTGGTTTGGAATTGTTTCCATAAACGTAAAATTACCGAAGAAAAGAGGAACATTTGTGATCGACTGTCCTGCTTCAATGCGCCCCACAGCATGCCAGAGCTCGGAATCTTCCATTCGTCTTCTGGAAGTCATAGAAACACGTATATCTTGAAAACGAATTGTACGAAAGTTTTAAACACCTTCTACCAGCACTTACAATCAGCTTCTGTAACCTTTCATAAAGCTGGCTTCTTATGAGACTGCCTTTTTTGCATATTTCTTGAAAGCGCAATTAGCTGTTACCTAACACATTTGAATACTTCCATCTACCTCTGCAGCGAATTGCATCCTCTTCAATTCTGATTGGATTTTGGAAATTAGTATTTTCCTCTCCGTGCTTTTCGAAGTGAGTGTATTTAAAACTAACAGATTTCAGGATATTGACAAATATTTCTCATTTGTTCAAAAAATAATTACCTCTAGATTTATGTCTGCATATCTAGAAATTAAAGCCACAGTCTTTTTATTTTGTAGCAAATCTTATGATAGTTACTAAAAATAAAAAGATAAATTCAATTACAAACTTCAAGATTTTTTTTTAAGTAGGAATAAAGGATACAAAGGTATGTTTCCAGATAAACTGCTCTCGGCACAAGATTCACTTTTGAATTTGTCAATATGAAATGCCTGGTGAAGCTCTTCAAATTCCTGAAAAAACAAAATTACAATAATATATACTCCTATTTGTAAAAACTGCAACACAAATCATCAAAACTTAATGAAATTTATTCCATATGCAACCATTCATAGTAAAAAGAAACAATTAAATTTACAGAGCATGACAAAAATTTTAAATGTCATTTGGTGAAGCCGTCACATACTTCAATAAAAGCCTGTATTCATCATGAATGAAATGGATAAAACATGTTTTGAACATTTACCATGAGGAACAGCATTCCAAGCATTCTATCTGAGCCCAAAGTTGATCTGCAATTCTACAGACATGGCAATGGCTGCAGGATGAATGTCATAAGTGAAATGTCAGTCCATAAAATTCCAGACATTTTAACAAGCAACATGTCTGGTGAACAGACAGACCATATGTAGAAGTGGTGTTTGGTATGCTGAGAAATTTTTTTAAAGATTTCTAATAACATGTCGACAAGCACTGTCTTGTTGAAATAACCTCCAGGAAAGTCTGGAATTTAAGAACTTTGAAATATTCAGAAAAATGTAACAAACCTTAAATTAAAAAAAATTAAAAGAAATACTTTTGATTACCCACGCACCTTTCCACCAATAACTTGTGACTAATGCTTCACTAAGCTAAGATGCGAAACACAACAGCCCTTTTAAAAATAGTCATGCATATAAAATAGCTCTGAATTAATAAAATTATGTGTAAGAAACATCTATAATAGAATGATTATTTTATTGGCATTCTCCCTGTATATAGTGATTTTTTTAGCATCAAAAAACGTAAGAGATTTGTAGAAAACCAGCACTGCGCACACTGTGTTCTCCCTATGTACATTAATATCTGTTTTCACTTTAAAAAATTATATAATTGCACAAAAATAGGCATTGTGCACACTTTTGTTCTTCCCATATATACAGCACTCTGCTTTCACTTAAAAAAACATTCAGATTATTGCACAAAACATCAGCATACAAATTTTTATCCCTAAAATTCCATCATTTATGAAGTACAACTTACTGGAATGCAAATTCATGCATTCTCTAACTGCTGGGCAAAAAGCCATATTTCTGAAGAAATGCAACACTTTCCTTTTCATTAGTCAGAAACTCCACAATCCCATTATTAGGAAGACAAACACACACACACACACAAAAAAAAAAAAAAAAAAAAAAAAAAAAAAACCCCTCAATTTGGGGGGGTAACAATACTAATAGTCAATTCGAAGTTTGAAAATGATGCTTGTCTGCTGCATGTATATGCAAAATAAGGATGTTACATAACTATAGTTTGGTGCTGTCATAAAATACCTAATTTGGCTACACAGTGCACTGCCTTGTGACTACTTTTCAAAGGAGTGCAAATAATAAGAAAATCCTGAACCCTAAATATAACTAAAAAAAATTTTTTTAAAGGAGGGGGAAGACATACAGTACAAAATCCAAGATCCGAAATCATCGGAACTTTAGCAATTCCAGATTTTAAATCTAGTAAGATAATATGAAGACATGGTTATATTAGGGCTTCACTTACTGTTTAGGTCAGATAGAAAAATGCTCCTCTCCCCCCCCCCCCACACACACAAAGGGTCAGAGTAAGCAGACCAAACACACCAAGAGTCAGAATTCAGGAACAGCAAAAATTTTAGAATTTAGATCAGAAATTAAGGATGGCAGTTTTTTTTTTTTTTTCCCAGTTTTGGGCAGCAGAATTTAGGGATGGTAAAATTTTTAGAATTTAGGATCGGCAAAGATTACACCAGACTGCAAAATAGAGTTCTACCCTGCATCCCACAAAACCTCTCAAGGGCCAGAAGGTGATCCAGGGCAACATAAATACGAAGCGAATCACTGCACTGTTGTTTTGGGCCACAAAGGGATTCCTTAGCCAGTGGATGTTTGAAAATAAGAATGCAGGAATCTCAATTTGTCAAGAGAAAAATCCCATTTACAACACACTTGTTTCCTTTTGTTATTATATTCTCTATTCCTATACTCTGTAAGGGGAGTTATTATTATTTATTTTTTTAGCTGGCAGTCGAAGTCTGGATATTGGACCTCCATATTTCAGATGTTGTACTGTATATTGTAATATTAAGGAATGCTGATGAAAAAAAGTGTAACAGATGCAACATTATAAATCAATGCAACATAAAATTTAATTAATACCATTCAATAGGTACTGTAGCATATTACATATATAATTTTGGCAACTAATTTATATGATCAAGCAAGAGTTAATTTACAAAAATTTTAGCATTTTTAAACTACATTAATATTTTATGAGTATAATACTGATATTAATAAAGCAATATAAAAAACTAAAAATACTTAATTAGTATAATAATGAAATATTAAGACAATATTATTATGCTAAATTAGGATAATATTTTAACGCTGAGATGGTCCAATTAAAATAAATTTTAAATGAAAAAATATGATATAGCACTTACAAGTTAATGTTACAAGAGTTCAAGAACTAGATTAGATTCTGTGTATAAGTTGCGTATCATACTAAGTGTTTTAAAGAAAATTAATTATGGTATTTGTTAAGTAAACTTGGTATTTTCAAATAAAATTGTTTTTAGATAGAAAACATAAATAAATACTAAGAATATTTATACTGCACCTAAAATGTATGCTTTTTGTGCATAATAATTTATGTAAATCATATAATTTCATGTAAAATAAATACTTTTAGTACATCTAAAATTCGATAGTTAGAAATCATGTTAGTACAGTGGAACCTCGACATACAAGTTTAATTTGTTCCAGCATTGACCTCGTATAGCGAATTTCTCGTACCTAGAAACAAACTTACCCAACTCAAAATAATAGAAATCCAGTTAATTCCATTGCACACCCCCAAAAATCTCATTACCATCACATCTTTAGTCACTGTACCTGGTGCTTTTCGGAGAAGGTCCAAGTACACATTCTTAGCCTTAGCGCAAATGATAGCTTCCGACACCAAATCACCTTTTAACTGCTTCTCCTTAATCCACACCAACAACAGCTTCTAGAAGTCTTGGACGGTGCTTGGAAATAACGGTAACACCTTTGGCCACATCATTGTTTCTTAATTTCTTCCTTCTTCTTCAGAATAGAGCTGATTCTCGATGTCAAATGGCCGTAAAGTCTTTGCCAATTCCATCACTCTTACACCCTACTAATGTTTATCTATGATTTCTTTCTTAATTTCATGGCCATGGTTTCTGAGGCAAGAATTTTCTTGGGAGGCATCGTGAAATGTAATAAAAAATTGACTTACAAGTGCACAAACACGTAAATCAAAGATTATCGAGTGATCTGGAGAGGGGATTATCCGAGTCGAGCTGGATCGGGAAATGGCACCTCGCATACCAACAGCCTGGCCCATTGCTCATTACTTGAGTCAATGCTCGTATTTAGGAGACAAATTTTTCGGTCACACTTTCCTCATGTACAGAGGTGCTTGTATATCTCGAGGTTCCACTGTATAATGCTCAACATTATGCTTAAATGTTGATACTGAGAAATTCAGTTATCAGAAAGCAGTTATGCTGATTTGCTTGTGAGGACCTCCCCATTTTTATCAAAGTTTGTTTTGTTTATTGTACTGTTTTTTGTTAGTTTCTATGCTATTAAAGTCTAAAATCTATTTTAAATTACTTTATAAAAAGAAAATAAGGATAGTTTTATAATGAGTAAATAATTAATTTTAATAGAATTTCATATATGTGTAAAAGAAAATTTTTAGTTTTATATTGAATGCAACATTTTCTACAAAAGACTTTCAAGAGAAGGAGTGTAAAAATTACATTAATAATATTCAAGGAAGTTTCAAAGAATGGATTTTTATGATTACTTCTTGAAGAAATATGATTCCCAATTTATTTATAACATTTTCAGAGAAAAAATAATCTTGCAAACTTTAAAACAAACTGGACTGACAATTTCAACAGAACTTTAAATTTTGTATTTTTGTTTGCAAAATTTGTGATTTTTGTTAAAGTCTCATATTAAAAATTTAGATCAGAATTTTATGATTTCTCCCAAAATTATATTTATCTTGTTTTGCAAACTCTTTAATGCTTTTCCTAAAAAGAGTTTTCTATTGCTAAGCCTTTTACTCTTTGAAAGGGGAGGATTATGTATATAAAAAAATGAAACTCAAAATTATTAACTAGGGAATAGTACTTTTAATTTCTCCTTTTAATTTGGCTATTTCCTTTTCCTGTTCTAAATTATTTATAATAATTTTTCTGGACTGTGTCTTTTCAAATTAATTCATTCATGATTGCTTATGTAATTCATTCATGATTGCTCCTGCATTGTGAATGACTCTCATCCAATTGGCAGAGACCAAAATTTAAACAAAAGAACCAATTCTTTAAATACCGCTGTTATTATTGCACACTATTTTATTCCTGCTTCACCTTCCTGGTAGCCTTTGAGAGTTTGCTTTTCACTTCATTCTTTGTCTAAGAAGAACATCTTACACACTGCCAAAGTTTTACAGAATTCTGGCATGTATAGTACAGCGATAAATGATGCTCTGTGGATTTGCTTGTGCATATCATGGCTTGCTCTACTACGAAAATAAAATTATGTGTTCATATCAGTGGCCACATCTGAAAGCTTTTCTTCTTCGGTCTCTCATCTTAAGTGTCAACACATCTGTTTTTTGAATTCTCAAGTTATCAACTAAATTATTGCATATACACTACCAGACACTGAAAATGCAATACCAAGAAGAAGTGGCCAGAAAGTGATGAAATTCAACAGAGTGAGACTGCAATGAACAATAAATTATCTTTATTTTGAAATGATATGCATAATACAGAGCGAGAACAGCGTCAGCTCAGTAGGTTGTAGGGCTACCTTGGACGGCGATACAAGAAGCAACACGTCTAGGTACAGAGTCAATGAGGCTATGGATGGTGTCCTGAGGAATGGCTCTCCATTCCCTGTCAACCATTTGCCACAGTTCGGCTTCTGAAAGCGGCAACGGCGGGTCTACAAATGGCGTC